GAGGCGGGATGTTGTATTAAGTCTGTTCTTTTTATCATATCATTTATTTGTGTTTAAATATGTTTTGTTGTCAGATGATTTTTGTAAACATGTTTTTGTAAACATTGGGTTAGTTTGGAAATAGAGTGTGTTGAAGCAAGATTTTTTTTACATTTTATTTAATTTACAATCTGTTCAACAAAAATAGAACAATAAGCAAATATAATAAAATTTAAACACAGTAGTTAGTCTTTATCCAACAATAAAGCTAACACACACACTTTGCATATTGGTACAAAGTTTAAAGTCCATAAATCTCTAAAAACGACTACTCGGGTCCAAAACATGGCATCTTTTCAATCTATATATACAGTTGCTGTTGTCCAACAAATTCAAAGCGAGGTAGTTGGGATGGTACTCTAATTTCTTTAAGTATTTGGCACTTAACCTTGAAATTTCTTCTTTGACCGTTGGCGTTCGACTGTCTCTATGGAGCACTTCGTTGTTAACGAACCATGGTGCCTGGAGAATGTGCCTTAGAACCTTGGATTTGAATCTTTGGATGATGTTCAGATTTGATTCACTGGATGTCCCCCATAGTTGGACACCATACGTCCATACTGGTTTTAAAATAGTTTTATACAAAAGTAATTTATTTTCTGTTGTTAATTTAGAATTTTGATTTAATAGCCAAGAAAGATTTTTAAATTTTAAATTTAACGAAATTCTCTTGTTCCAGATGTGGCTTTTCCAAGTGAGTTTTCTATCAAGGGTCAAGCCCAAGTATTTAACCTCATTGCACTGTGGGATTTGAACGTTGTTTATGGTAACAGGAGGACACGTGTCTAATCTTGTTGTAAAGGTTGTATGGACAGATTTACACTCATTTACTTTGATCCCCCATTTTTTTCAGCCAATGGGAGATATCATCGAGTCCAGTCTGAAACATTTGTGAAGCTATAACAGGGTTTTCATGAGAGGCTATAATAAAAGTATCATCAGCGAAGGTTGCAATTTCGACATTAGGATTTTCAGGGAGGTCCGCCGTGAACAATGTGTAGAGAACGGGGCCCAATACACTTCCTTGGGGAACTCCTGCTTGAATTTCGTGAAGTGGGGTAACAATATCACCAAATTTTACTCTAAAGAGTCGGTTGGAAAGGTAAGACCTCATGAGATTGAAAAATGTGTGGGGAAGATTTTGTAGAGTAAACCAGTATGCCAAACTTTGTCAAACGCTTGACTCACGTCAATGAATACAGCAGAACAAAACTTCTTGGTCTCGATATCCTCTTTGATAATATCCACCACCCGATGAACCTGCTCAATGGCAGAATGTTCTTGCCGAAATCCAAACTAGTGATTAGGAATTAAGTTTAACTCACCAATCACTAAGTGTCAATACTAAAAGTGGATTTCCTTCAAGTTTAGTCTTTTGCAAAATTAAAGATTTTAAAACTACAATTCATTTGTAATGTGGCGTGTAGGCCTACATAATGAAAATGGCGTCCTAAAATGGTTTTAAAGTTATGAAACATTGAAAAGTACTAAAATAAGCATTATACGTGTAATAGCGTGGAAATCATAATATTACATTATAATACACAATCAATGTATTTTTTTAATAATGTTATATTTTAATAATAGATTTTAAGCATTTTGATGTTTTAAAACACTCTACTTTGTTGTCTGCCACAGGTACAAATCTGTAAAAGGATTGTGTTCAGGGAATCGATAGTCGTCCTTTGAATCAAAATTGAAGTTCTAATTCAACTTTTTGCTACTTCTTCACTGTCTACAAAAAAATATTGAATACCTTTAAGGTTTTTTTAACAAAAGTTTTAAACGTCCTTAGCATTCAAAATTTGGTTGTCAATGGTAAATTGTAGACTATTAGAGACTTTGCTCTTTGTACAGTAGTGCCTCCTACGCCATTGCAGTATATTTTGTACCCACTCCCCAGAACCATATACCCCCACCCTAACTCGAAAACTAACAAGGTTAGGGGGATGGGGTTTGTGCCATTGAATTTCTCACCCCCAAAAAAAGGTAAATACATACATCACAACCCCTCAAAACTTTAACAACATGTATTTTGTACCCACTCCCCAGATCCATATACCCCCACCCTAAATCGAGAACTAAGGATGTTGGAGGGATGGGGTTTGCACCATTGAATTTTTCACCCCCAAAATAGGGTTAAAACATATATCACAACCCCTCATACCCCCAACTACACCTATTTTGTACCCACTCCCCAGATCCATATACCCCCACCCTAACTCGAAAACTAACAAAGTTAGAGGGATTGGGTTTGTTCCATTGAGTTTCTCACCACCAAAATAGGGGATATTCATGGTTTTGTACTGCTTTACTGACAAAATCTCCAAAGCTATATACATTTAGCAAAAGGGGGGTATCACCCCCTTACAGGTCAAGGAGGGCAATATAAGTGTTAAAAAGGGCGTATTTGTATTTACGAAAACATAACAAATCAATCTAATGAGGAACAAATTATTTTGGCTGGGGGGGGGAATTCCCCCCCTTGTAAGTGGGAAGGGGGGGTTAGGGCGTCGGCGATGGTTCCATTGGATTCCTCACCCCAAAAATAGGGGATATTCATTATTTTTGTACTGCTTTACCTACATATTCTCCAAAGTTATATATATTTAGTCAAAGGGGGGGAGGGTTTTCCCCTTACAGGACAAGGGGGCAGTATAAGTGTCAAAAAGGGTTTATTTGTATGGAGGATAATATAATAAATAAATACAAATGGAAAAAATTATATTTTATTCAAAGAATATCCATCTACCCCTTGTAATTAGAAAGGGGGGGCTCGTAGGGGGACGGCGATGGTCCTATCGCCCCCAAAAATAGTAGGGCTACATGGTTTATACTGCTGTAGATACAAAACTGGAGAAAATCCCTGAAAGGGATCAAAAGTTTGAAAAAATTTCCCTGAATATGGATAAATAACGTTTAAAAAATCCCACTCCCCAGAGCCATACACCTACCTATTTATTTAACTTAATCACTACAGTTACAGCACAAGATCATGGTAAGTGGTTGAATCAACGAAGCCGTCTCGCTCGGAACACCACTCGCCACCGCGGGGTAGCGGATTTTTATCCCCCTGGAATTTTACCCCCTGGGCAAACGTGACGTCACAAACCAGGGGTAAAATTCCGGTAAACTTTTGAGTTTCGCGACATCAGCTCGATGGATTAAACGCGGAATTAAACATATATTTTCACGGTTGTGAGTTTAATCAGAACACATCAAATTATAAAAACCTAGAATGTACGGCCCGGATTTTTACCCCCGGAATTTTACCCCCCGGATTTTTACCCCCGGAATTTTACCCCCAGGCCAGATATGTAAATTAGTGAGAATGATTAATTATCGTCATTCAGTTTTAATTTAATGGTAAACATTTTATTATTAAGTAGCCTATCTTAATTTATATGTAACATTAACTAATTGAACAGGGTTGAAGCAAGATGTGTGAATAATATTCTTGTATAAGAAATAGAACAGTAACTATATTTAATTATCAAATGGTAATACGAAATACTCTTATTTTATCTTAACATGTAGCTTTCAGTTCACATTTATTTTATTTGATACATTTATTATTTGTGTTTTGCCACACCACTGATTAAATTAAACCAAGGAAAATATCATAAAACTAAGCAGTACACAGTGTTCTTTTGTTTCTAAAATCAATGAAATATCTGTTACTATGTTTTCTTAATGGTAAGTGTGAAAATGTAAAAGCAATGGACAATGGAACTGATTAAAAGAACTGGTTTGTATATTAAGTTGTTTGATGATATTTTTTTTTAGTAGAATCAGAGATGCAATGAAACATATACTGTATTTGCTATTAAATTTTTTAGTCCTTGATGCTTTGATAATCATATTAGTTTTGTCTGCTGTCTTTAATGCTAAATTATTTGTATGACATTTTTTATTGTAGGCCTATAGATATAGTTTCTTTAATATTTCAAAAGACTGTATTGATAAGGCACAGCTATATTTCTAAAGTTTATAACAGCTGACTTAGTTTTGCTAATGATTTATTGTGAGTGAAAAAACTGAAGATGAAAGGATTTGTGATTTAATATAAAGAAGAGTTTAATATAAAGATATTTAAATTTAATAATTAGTATTTTTGCAACTTCAAAATTGAAATTTAAAATGTCAATAATAAATTATAAGATGTGTAATTAAGGGAGATGAAGGTAAATCTGGTAAATCACGTATGTCAAAGTTTTACTCGAAGATTTGGTCAGTTTTTCTATCAGCCTACACAAGATTTAAAATTAATCAAAACCAAAATGGTGGTATCCACTACTTACCAGATTTAAAAGTCATAACTAAAACGTTTCTATTAAGGCCATAAAAGTTGAATTTTGTTTCTACAAGCGTTGGCGGATGTGTAACTATTATATGCAAGGGATAAAGATTAAAATGTTTTTATTTTGTGTCCTCTTCCCGTTGCAAAGCACGGGTACAACAGCTAGTATAACATATTATTTTAGTTCAAACTACTCAGCTGACATCCTTTTTCAGATTTTATCACCGGTAGGTTTTTTTGTATTGAAATTAAGAATATACTTTTAAATGTTGTATTAATATTAGGTTATGATACATTAACGATGTATCAGTAATCGCTGTAGATCAATTTCATATACCGCCTTGTGTCCGTAAGTTATAAATTGGCAAGTTTGAGAAAATATTTTCCTCAAAACATATTAAAATTTTTCACTCATTAACTAAATGTTTGTGACATCAACCGTTTGACGTAATTTTATTGGAAATATGCCTAGGTACCTTTTAATATTTACTAGCTATTCCAAATCCTAATTTCCTTAGTTAAAACATATTTTCTCATTTCTTTTAATTCGGCCGTTTTGTACTTTATGCTTATCCAAAGATGTCAACCTGCACAGCTGACCTATGCTTGTATGGTAGGCCTACACCACCACCTCAAATACTACCACAACAGCCAAGCTTACTTGTCAGTGTTGTTGGGCGACGACTTGCTGTAAGGGTGTGTGTTGTTGTTGAGGTGGTGCAGCTTGTTCGCGTTGTTGTCGGTTGTCGGATGTTGGCCACCCTGGGTTGGGCTGTTGGGCGATATTTTGCCAGCCAACGTGTTCAAACTCTGCAACATAACTAACTCACTGCACTGCACTGCACTCCGCACACGGTCAATATCTGAAACAAAAAAAAATAATAATTTGTAATTTGTAAAAATTATAAATAGCTTATATGTAAATACCAAATGTACATTAATCTACCAAAAGTGTTTTACGAAATACAATTAAAACTGTATTTTACAAGTGATATCCGCATATAGCCTATTCTGACAACTCTTTATAAGGGGTTTTGTATGAAACATTAATTTTAAGGGCGCTAACTATTAATTTGATAAATAATCTAGTTTTACGACTTAAAATGAGATAATGCATACACTAAAATATTGAAAACACAGTTTACATACTCCTATATTAAAATAGAGCAAGTGCCGTTTACCTCCATTAAAATAGTTATAAAATGATTAATGGGTCTTTCAGGTTATAGTAGATTTAAAACACGCGAGGAACTTCTGAGAAAGACTAATTGAGGGTTAGTATTATAAAATTTGTTAAAAATTCCGGATTTTTAAATTGTTGTTAAATGTGGTTACTTATTGGTTTATAACATGTTTATATAAATAGTCATAAAATGTATTTTTAAAGTCAAGTACAATATGAACCATTATATAAATTTACATAAATGATTTGTTCTCAAATCAAGTTTTGATTGTAAGGAGAGTTCCTTTTTTATTCCTAACGAGTTAAACCCAAAAACGAAGAATTTATTTGAGCCAAAATAACAGGATAAGTGACGCGTTTTCAAAGAATTTCTGTACCACTGTCCAATACAAAATTTTTAACAAATGTATATAAAATTATTTGTCTAAAACAATATAAAACACATCTTATCATAACTTATTTCAACCAATTATTCAGCAAACAACGAAATAGTAATGGTAGTCATCCAGTTACAGCTTAAAGGACGTAACAAAGACTTTTAAGGATTGCCACGGCTTCGCTTTAAATTATTTACATGTATTATACACACGTATGATTGATATCAACACGGAAAAGGACATTTTCTTAAGCTCTTACTATTTCCATCATTAAAATTGTGTAACTTTTTCCATATAGACATTATAACAATGATGTCAGTTCATTGCTTAGCGTAAAAAAAAACTAATTCAATAAGAAAGTTTTAAGAAAGTCTAATCCTACAACCTTTTCCTAAATGATGAAAGATTGAATTGTATTAAATTATCTCTATCCACATGCTTAATCATCCTTATGCATACTTAGCCTTAGCACTAGAAGTGATAGAAGCTATTTGCGTTTACGCCTTCATGTTAGTGTCAAGAAAGCTGTAAAGGCGCAATAAAAGAGTAGTTAAAGAAGCGATAAAGACTAGAAATGGAGGGAAAATGTGTTACCGCTAACGACGGTCCTTAACTTTCTTGTCGAAATAATCTTGATTACCGAACGTTTTCAGTCAAACTTTACTGGGTACTCAAGGGCCAAGTATTCAAAGGGATCTGCTAAGGGTAGTTTGTATTGTTGTATTTGAATTCATGAATTTATGAATCATTAAACGTAATATCAAGCTGTAGGAATCAAGCTGTAGGAAGTTTAAATACAGGCTTTATGTTGTGATAAAACAGGATTGTAACCAAAGATATTAATTTTGTCTCGCTAAATGTATACCGTAAGTTCACAAATGCCACTGTTTAAATTACAACAATGCTGTGTATCATAAAAAGTTTACTAGTTCAGTATTAATTCTTGTATGTTTTTCAAGACATTTCAAAGGTCCGCAATATATATTACTGATTTAAAACATATAATTTCAGTATAAAAATACAGCTTTATTGAGGATGATTATAGTATTATTCAAACCAGCAACCTAGCCATTAAATTCGTACGTGGAGAAAATAAGTAGCGTACAGAACTTGATCATTAAATTTTTTCATCCCACTCGAAAGGAATATAACAGTTTATTTACAAAATATTCGGTAAGCATTAAGGATTATACATGAATGCAGTTATAAGGAAATACTTAGAGCAATTAGTTTTTAATAAGAACTGAACTTTGGTACATACAAACGTCAACTACTTACATAAGCCATATAAGCTATATGAGAAATATAATACTCCTAACTTATTTGCACACAGAAGTGTTAAAATGAAATAATACACAAGCCAACGCCTTGGCAAGTGTCGCGAGGTCATAACCTAGAAGATGCAGTGGCATCTAAAAATTATATCGGTCGTCAAAGACATCATTAGGGTTTATAACCTTTACCCGGTGACTTCGGTCTATAAAACTGGCAAAATTGTGCTTCGACTGAGTGATAACTCTCGAGGTGTAATGTTGTAACTTTTGAACACTTCAGTTGCATTTCCTCAGTTGATTGTAGCATTTTTGCTGGTTGAAGCAGAGAAATTACTCTGTATCATATATTTAGAACTGCATGTTTCATACAATACGTAACTCACAATCGAGTGTAAATGTTATAAATACAATTTATATCTAAGCATGTGGCATTTATTTACGTTTTTGTAAGGGAACTTAATGACAACTCGATAGCAAAGAATATTTCGGTCTGAAAACGATCTCACTTAAAATTGTACCATCTACCTCCGGATTTGAGGTCTAGCATTAAAAACTCCGTTATCCATAATTTATTTTAAACGTTGTAAAATAAATGTGTCTACCTATTCAATGAAGCTGTCTAATTGAAGTAAAATATAAAATATGAGCGTGATTTTTAAGTCGGCAAATCGTAACTGTATGCACACCTCAAATTATTGATACATCGTTTTGTCGCCTAAAACACTTTCTTATTCTCTTTAAAATTTTCTAATTGATTGATAGTACACAAAGTACAAACCAAGATAGTTAGAGATTCGTGTTTCTGAATGTGACAAAGCTGGCCAGTTATTGCAACTGTTCCACAAACGCTCCATCGTTACCGTGATTACCACAACTCAGTGCCACGAGTGTCGCGTAGTTTTTATGATCAATTCCCGCGACAAGACGCAAAGTTTGTTAATCTGGTAATTGTGCCTTGGGACGTCACTGACTTAACACAACGGCTTTACGACAGGGACGTTAGCTTCTGTAATTGGTTTAGGGGTTGGTAATGTTGATGACTGTTGCGTGGAAATTGAAGTTCTGTGTTGTACTTTGAATGAAACGTGATTACTTTTGATAGCGAACTAATATATATTTAAAAGTTTGCAAAATGTAATGATGTTTTCATTTTTGAACTTTTAAATTGGGGTTTAGATTTACTATTGGAAGCTATTTGTTTCTGAAATATAGATTACAAGATAAAACGTTTGATCATTTTACTTTTTACTACAGACTGTTCTCAAATGGATACTCTTAGTAAGGTAGGTTCCTATAAACTGTTTATGGGTATGATTGAATGGTTTAAGTTAATTACAAACAACTTTGAATGATAATTTGAAAACAGGGAGAACGGAAAAATTTAAACGTTACATTGTTTGACGTTAGAAGGTTTAATTCGGTAAATCAATTCATTGCGACTGCACAAACTAACATTTATATTTGTGCAAACATCTGGTTTAAAATAAGAGTATTTTTCGGAGCAATATAGTAATTAAATTACGTGTTAACTTTATAGGAATTGCCCACTGTGTTGTACGTAAATTACTACATCAGTTGGTATAAACAAAAAATAATATCAACCACCAGTTTATGGTTATAGTAAAAATACTCAATTAAATATGACATTTTAAACTCTCGCTTATTATAAATCCAGTATAGTATATGATTAATGAAGTATCAACATTGTGGTTCGGTCGTGTTACACTCATGTGCTCTGGATGGGAGTAACTCAGATAAGATAGCTGATGTCTATATAAGTACTCTTATCGATTATGTAATCAAAAGAGTTGCGCAGGTGCTTGCTTAGCTGTTAACTTTAGCTACACGAGGTATATTTTAATGTTGTATATTTTAAATATGTTTTAAATATGTTATGTTTATTTTTATAATGATGTATATTTTAAATAAATGCATTTTTCACACATGTATGTGCATGGATACATACTGTAGCGATCATAGGAAATATAATTTCGTTGTGTTAAATAAAACTATAAAACTGTATATATAAAATAAACTGTGTTATATCTCTCAATAGTAAATATTTTACTTGTTAAGCTGCCTCTAAAACTGTTTGTGAAGTTAAAAGAAAAAAAAACATTGCTTATTAAGTACCTAACAATCTGTGGTTTCGATTAAATTCCCATTTAACCATTGGATTCTTTAACGATTGACGAGCTATAAAATAGTAAATTTATAATGGTTGTTTACCTAAAACTTGTGAGTATCTCGAGGAGTTTATATTTTAAAACTTAGAATAACCACTAATATACACTTCTGGAACCATATACGGCTTTTATTCACCAAACAGTCGAGTTGTGTATTGATTATATAAACTTATCCGTTTGAAGTTAAAAGTGGTCTCCTGACTTTTTGTTACCACTGTATATTAATGCCTTTTTCATATTCCATAGGCCACTTCATAATTTAATAACAAACGGAGGAAATACAGCAAAGTTTTCAACGACAGTTGTCAAAAGTTACAACATTACACCTCAAGAGTTATCACTCAGTCGAAGCACAATTTTGTCAGTTTTATAGACCAAAGTCACCGGGTAAAGGTTATAAACCCTAATGATGTCTTTGACGACCGATATAATTTTTAGATGCCACTGCATCTTCTAGGTTATGACCTACCGACACTTGCCAGAGGTGTTGGCAGATTATTAGTTAAGTTTTACATCTGTTAATATTCCTTCAGTTAGAAATTTATTCACTTAGCCTATTTTTGTACATAAAGATTATTTTCCGAAATCGTGTCTTCCTTAATGAAGGTTGTTAAGTTATTTAATCATTTGAAAATATTAACTGTGACGATTAAGTGGTTAAATTATTACCTTCCATAGATTTGTGCATCACATTAGGGAGTACTATGATATGACATCATGAGTCTACTAATTCATACGGAAACGAGTATATAAGTAAATAATTAATCATGTACAATCAGTATTATTTTCTCAAACTATCAAAAACAAGTATTGGTAAATTATTTTGTGTAAAATGATACTTTT